ACACCAAATGTCATAAATCTAACACCCAATCCCCTCAGCAGCCCTCCTCCATCCCTGGATTGCAATCAATATTCAAATTAAGTGATCGAAATCAAAACCGTGTCATAAACTAGTCGGTGGTACTGGAAACTGTATTATTTGTCCATCTATGATATACCCCCAATAACTTTGAAAATATCCGTTTTCTTCCAAAAAGTATCAATTCCATAAACACCAAAAAATTGAAGGCAAAGCAAGAATCCAAAAACCAATAACCAAGTTTGAAAAAATCCTTATCTCGACAAACATAAATCAAAGAACCTAAGGGTACCAGCAAAGAGAGCAAAGGCTCAGACTTGAAACAGAGGACAGAGGGCTCCATAATTTTTTTTCAAACAAAGCAATTGCATTTTCCATACATAATTAAACAACACCCAATTGTCAAGAAATAAAACCCATAAATAAAAACATCAAAAGAAAGTTCCTTACTATCAGTTGCCGGAAAGACGGTCAGTGGCGGTCAACGAGCCCTGTACAAGAAATTCCGATGAAAGCCTGTACAAGAAGCGAACCCTGTACAATAAGAAGAATGCAACTCTCTAATCGGTACAGTCCTCGTCTGAAAGCGCTTTGTCCAGCTTAACGAATTGAAGGTCTGACGCTGGCGGAGATGTAGGCGGCGGGAAGAGGCTGAACGTTGGGGACTCTGGGTTGGGCTTTTTGTATTTTGGGCCAAAGGTTTAGGTTTTTATGAACGGTTTTTGTTTTCTCATTTTAGGCCGTCAATGTTTATTTATTTTATTTAATTTTTGATGGGAGCCATCAATGTAAAATTAATTTTATAAATTGCTGTATTTTTATAATTTTAAATGGTATATATTTTATTTTTAAAAAAAGTATCATGTAATCCAAATTGTGTTAGACTATGATAATAGAGGCCTTTTTTTTATCTAATGAACATTGTTTTACTTTTACAATTTAATGTAATACAATCTAACCATTTTTTATACTTTTTTTTTTCTGAACCATCTTTTATGCTACCATAATTGAACAACTACGTTTGACAAAAAAAAAAATCAAACTTTTTAATTCATTTTCTTTTAGTTAGACTTGATTGTAAGAATAAATATAAGAGAAATTCTTTTAAAGTGGATATATCAAAAATATTTTATTATCTTTTTAAGAGTTATTTTCTCAAATTATTTTCTATACTTAATTACATATATTAACATGTGTATTAGAACGAGGGTTTTCTTTGATAAAAACATCAGAGTCCGAATTGTGTTCACAGTGTTCAAGTTTTGTGCTGCCCACAAATAAAAATAAAAAAAAAAGTTCAAAGTTAAATATAATGGGAAGGTCCGACCAAATCCCCCACCAAAAGGACTCCAAAGGCACAGCAGCAGCCCCCGACGACAAGCCGACACACAACGCACTCAGTCTTTTATTCTCCTAAAAGAAACACTTTCAAATGCTACCTTCAACATCTCTTTGGATTTTACTCCTGACCATTTTCTTCCCTGGACGTACTTTCACCCATTCACATGGTCACATATCTCTGCCTTGTTACACATTGCAGCTCAGCTGCCTTTGTATTCCAACTTTTAGTCATACAGAATCAAAATAGCCGGAATGAATGAATTAAAATAATCATCTTAAGTCCTAGCTATGTCCTATATATATGTGCATATGCATATGAGGTCTCATTAAAGAGTACTTGCATCAATCCCATTGAGGTTCCTCTTCATCTTCCAATGAGTGAAGATAGATAGATTGATTCAGCAATTGTTCATGCATCCGTTGCTCTTCTGCAAGAAAGGTTCAGACAGTTGGAGAGAGCCAAGGAGATAAGGCAAGAGAAAGTTTTTAGCTTATGGATGTTGCCTAAATCAAGGCAGATCAATGCAACTGTGCCTTATGTGCCATGCAGATTGCTTTTCCACCCTGCACTCATGCTTCAGTCAGATCTGCCTCTTCAGTGTAGAGTCAAAAGAGAAGCCAGTCTGCAAAGCAGGAATACCCAGGTTCAGGCCATTTAGACTCCAATATTGGAGAATTTATGGTCCAGAGACACTGTCATATGCATGTTTATCTGCTCAAAATGAACAGCACTAAGCTTTTGGGCATTTGCAGCTAATATCTGCACCAGGGACAACATTTCACTCACATTAATCAGTAATTCAATTGTGTGCTCAAGATTTAGAATTATTAGCCTATACGGTTATCACATGGATAATTTATTTTCCAGAAAAAAATGTTTAAACTTGAATGTTACACAAGAACGGAGCATATAAACTATTATTATCAGTTGCTAAGTTTCATTTAACAAACTAAGCCACCAAATGAAGCATCTCATAGGATGAACAATATAAAAGCAGATTCCTATATGAACAAATGCATGCCCGCATAATAGCATTGATTTCAGAAAGTCACATGTGGAAGAGAGTCAAGAGACTGCATGATTGCTAGCTACGTTTATTTTCTTTCTGAGGTTTTTTACTGAAATCCATTCAGTGCTTTTACCCAACCTCAAGTCTATATATTTGATGCCTTTCCTTCAAATCTTGATGATCAGATCCATCTTCATCATGCTTATCATCATCATCTTGATTATCCCTTTTGAGGACAACTTGGATGGGCTCACCAGCCCTAGGGATGTATCCAAATTAATACTTCGCATACAAAACCAGATAGTGTCTCATACTGATGTTCCTATCGAACGGCATGGTGAACAAAGAACAATGAATTATAAATATGAAATTTAAAAGTTAAAGAAACATTTTGATGGTTATTTACAGTGTGAGATTAACTGTGCCTTTACTTCAAAATAAATTGAAAATCACATCACAATTTTAACCATTTACTTTATCCTCGCTCCTTTTTCTTTTTCATTTGTTTCTTAATTTTTAAAGCAGCGATCACTTAACCATAAAGCATAATAATCCCACAACAGTCACAATAAACAAAATTTCACTTGCAACTGGGATCAGAAATATCAAGTTTAGAAGCCTGTCTATTTTTAAGATTCCTACGTTCAACTACTATGTGGCAGAGAATGAAATTTTAATGAGCCTGTGGAAATAGCAGGAGAAGCATACAATACAAGAAATAATCAAAGGCAAAAATGATCCTAATAACTAAGTCTTTAGCTTTAATGTTTAAATTCTCCATTCAGTGCTCTATACACCATAACAATGAAAACCAGTAATAGTATGGAATAATATACCTCTGCCATTTTGATATTCAAGTCCTCAGCCAATAAATAGATGCATGGGCATGGACATCATATACTCCCTCTGCTCTCATTACAATATAGCCAGTTTTCTTCTTGATCTCCTCCTGCTAATACAATTAGCAGCAATGCATAAAATAAGAATCACTTGAGAATCATTATACATATGTATAAATGAATCACTTAAGAATCAAGTAGAGGTGAACCTCATAACACTAATTGATATGAGACCTATTGAGTAAAGAAATATCTACATGACGTGAGAAGTGACATGAAATTCCTTGGTCACATGGAAAATACAGAAAAAGTACATGCCAAACTAAATGAGACCAGAAACTGGCGACATAAAGCAGCATCTAGATCAATTG